TACGGGGAATCGAACTCTGGAACTTGCACTTGCCAGGCAGGCGCTTGTGCTGCTAAGCTATATTCCCCAGCCCTTGCTTCAGTATTTACATTAAAAGCCAATATTTGCTGTATCCTTTAAGAAACTCACTAGCGTGACTTTATTTCTAAAAATGTTAAGAAATCACTGGTATGTGGCTAATGAACATGTTCTTTTTTTTTGGTCTTTTTGAGACAGGGTCTTGCTATGCAGTTCAGGCTGGCCTTGAACTTGTGATGCTTTTGCCTCAGCCTCCCAAATTCTGGGATTACAGGCATGCACCACCAGGCCTGGCACATAATGACTATGTTCTGAATAGGTTTAAAGATTGAAAAAAGTAGATGGAAAAGTAAAAGTAGGCATGGAAATATTTGAGTTTTCCATATAGGATATTCTTTAATTGAAGTGGGAGTTAGTGTTATTTTCAAAAGAGAAAACAGGTAGAGATAAAGTATCCCAAAGTCACACAGACACTAAATAATGGAGATGGGATTGAGAACCCCATTTTAAAGCCTTGTTGTATCTATGCCCTGTAGTACCCTGGGAGAAAAGTAACATGTTCATTAACTTTCTTGTGCATGGCTTTTTAAAAAAATGGTAGCACAGTTTACTCAAAAAAGTGAAACTGAAAAGTGAGGGAAAAACTGAATCCTCAGAGTGAGCTTGGGCTGAGTAAAAGAGGAAAGAGCAAGATGAAAGTACACCCTGGAGGACATAGGACAGGCTGTGGTGAGGAAGCCAGGATAGCTGACATTTTGTTTTTTAAAGGAACAACATAATAGTATATCGCATGTCTCTCAATCTCAGGCTAAAAAGAGAAACAGAGCCTTCTCTTCTGTGTAGTAATATTTTTTTTCATTTTCGATGGTACTGGGGGTTGATCCCAGCGCCTTGAGCATGCTAGGCAGATGGTCTAGCACTGAGCTGTACCCTCAGCTCTTTTTAATATTTTTCTTGCCCCCTTATATTCTTTTTCAATAACTATAAAGTTTGATTGCTTAGAGAAAATTTGAGTCAAGACATTTAATGATTTAGAAAGGCCTTAATCTTGTCCTGTTCTCGTAATAACCTGTTTTGTTGTTCATTACAATTTGCCTTTGTCTTTGTTTTGAACTCCAGAGGAGCTTAACTTTTATTTCCATAGTAAGGAGAGAAACACCAGGGAATGACAGACCTGACTGTGTGGTATAGGTTATAGTAGTGTTTTCTTTGAAATTTAATCTCCTTTATATCTTAGTTCATATGAGTGTAGTAAGGTTGACTGGAGGCACCTGGTGGGACAAGGCCAGAAGACGCAGTTATAGTCTCAGCCTTTTCTGACCATATGGCCATGGGCAGAATTCCTGTCTGCCTCTTTTTCCCGTTTGTGTATAAGAAGAGTACTTTTGATCTCTTAGAAATGTGCTCTGTACACTCACAGTTACCTATTTATCTTTTAAAGAATTCTTTATTTTTGCAATTAATTTTGTAATAAAGCTTATAAAAATCTCCTCTATCTTATTGTCATGTTCCCTTTTACAGGAATGACCATTGTGTAGCAGTTTGAAGACTGTCCTTAGCTAGTGGCTTATTTAAATATTTGTTCATAGTTTTGTGAATAGAGAAGATCTGAATGTTTTAATTAGTGTGTTTTTATTAATAAGACATTTCATTAATCAGTGTTTTTAATTCATCAGACTTTTTCATTACTAACAGTGTGTGTTAGCCATGAAGTTAGGGCTTTGGCATTATGGCTCAGAGCAAAGAGATTAGTGTTGTAAATATGTTTAATTTAACTGGTTTCTTCCTTGGAATTTCAGTTGTTTGCTGTCACTTGATTTGATATTATTTTGGAATGATATGCTGGCTGAAAAAGGTGCTTGGGTCTAAGTTAGCATTTTTTAAAATTATATGTGGTACATAATTATTACCTTTGTTTTGGGGAATTGATACATATATATTTGAATATAAGTTAATCTTTGAAGAGTTCTGATTCATTTTGATGGACTGTAGGTTTAAGAGTCTACTTTAAAGTCATTATTTTTGTCCTGATCTGAGCTCTTACTTCTGTCCTCCAGTTCTTTCCTTACCTGAAGTTAACTCCTTTTTCATTTCCTATAGCAACGGTTCTACAATTTCTTCCACTTTCCTCAGCCTGCTCAGTTTGTAGAGAAGAGCCTTCCTGCCTCTGAGAAAACTGGGATGCTTCTGTGCTGCCCAGAACTCTCTTGTTACCTTGTTTTCATTTCTTATTTGAGGGTACAGGAACCACCATCTACTTCTCTTCCAGCTTTTGCCACCTCCTCTGGTCCTGATTATATGTGGTCCTAATTGTGTGTGCTCCTGTTTGTAATCTAGAATCTTCATTCTTTAATTGTGTGTCTTTAGTATCTTTTTGCCTTTCCCACTCCCAATCTCGGCTGTTCCAGTTGTGATTAAACACACGTGAGTCCTTCCTTCCAGCCATCATACCTCAGTGAAAGGAGTCACTGGTGAGGAGGTAATATGCTATTTTTGACAACCCTTAGACTGTAACTACTTATTAGATCCTTCTTGCATATCTCTGTCTTCCTGAGAAACCACTCTGAAGATACCACCACGTATTACAGCAGCCATTGATATTTTCCTACTAATCTATCCATAACTGTGTTGTTTGTAATGTTCCTATCCTATTTCATAATGTATGTTTATTATTATGTGTTTCCTACAACAACCATTGAGAATAGTTAATGATTTTTTAATAGGTCACTCATGTATAGCTCTATTTATTTTCTTTAGAAGCCACTTTGAAGATACCAAAGTATAGCACAACAACTCTTGATAATCTCCTACCTCTTTTGTCTCTAACTCACTGTTATTTGTGTGTTTTTTTTCCTGAGAAACTATTTTGTAGATAATAATATGTGAAACGATAACCATTGATAATTTCCTACCATTTTGTCTGTAATTTGCTAAGTCCCCCCTATTATTATGTTATCCTTCTTTTATTCTTTAAAAAAAAAAAAAAAAAAAAAACACACACGTGAGTGTCAGGCAGTGTTCTAAGCACTCTGCTTTGTCCTTTTGTGTCCTAGAATGTTTGGTTTCATCTCCTCATAAACCCTGTGAAGTGGATGCACACAGTCCTTACTTTGCAAGGTTCTGATATGCACAGATTTTAGTTGCAACAGTTAATACTCCCAACAACATGGTTCAAAATTTAGTTACTATGAGTAATTGCATAAAGTTCAAATTTTGTTAAGTGCATAAAAATAGCAGATGTGCAACATGGTCTGTGACCAGTCTTGTCACTTCTAGTCTGTTGGTGATTGTTCATTGATTGTGCATCTATTCAGTTTATGCAAAGTGTGTAGTCTCTTTCTCTCCCAGTAATAATAAAACAACTTGAACCGTTTTATAAAAATGGGTAATTAAAATGAGTAAATTAGCCAACAAAAATTAACTTATAACAAAAAAATGGAAGAAAGAGCTACTCTGGCAGTGTTGATTCTGAGTTAGCTCCACCTTTTAAAATACCATGGAATATCATTAATTTTATGAATCCATGCAATGATTGCCATATGTCAGAGTCTTCCTTGAAAATATAAGGGAAGACTATATTAGATCCAGCAAAAACCTATTAGCTATAAAATTCTTCATTGTTATTTCTGACATGACAACTATGCAGAGCTTTTCTTTACATGTAGAACTCTACAGTGCCTCTAAGCTTCATTAATATATGAGTCTGAGGTGAATTTAAATTTTTCCTCCTAAGCTCATACTATACAACTAAAGTTGATAGCCAGGAGAAATTTGGTAGGGTTATTGAGAAATAGTTGGATTTCTTGGGAATACTCTTTTAAAAAAATTGTGGAAGAGGTGAGAGAGTGAATGGGTTTTAGGCTTTAAAGTGGGTACACTCAACCAAGGCAGAGTGCGAGTTTTCCAGGGATGCAGAAACCATCATTGTCAGTTTAGCAGTGAACAAGACACAGTCCTAGTCTTTTCCTTACTTCCAGATATAAGAGATAGATAATAGGCTCCCAAAATGATTATCAATGGAAATGAGTGAACTGAAGTATAATTCTTAAGAGTTTTGGGAGAGTGTTGTAAATAAACACTTATAGGCATAGTAGTGCATGCCTATAATCCTAGCACTTGGGAAGTTGATGCAGGAGGATCACTGCAAGTTCAGGGCTAGCCTGAACTATATAGTGAAACTGTGTCTCAAAAAATTCATGAAATCAGGATTGTATAAGCTGGACATTCTTCATAACTAGGCTAAAATCTATTTTGTTTTTATACCTTTATTTTTGGTACTGGGAATCGAACTCAGGACCTTGTGCTGCCCTGGCAGGCACTGTGCTGCCAAGCTATATCCCCCAGTCCCAAGCCTTAACATTTCTCTAAACATACTTGTTTATATTTGTTAAGTTGTTGTAGGTTACACCACAGTTTAGTTGACTAGCTGCTTATGTTTGAGCATTTTGAGTTCTTGTTGCTGTTCACTATGAGAGAAATGAAGGGATCAGTAGCCAAACTCTTCTAACTCTTTGGTGGGGCTGTACATGTGGATAGCTGGAATTGTCATGATCCTCTTGCCTCACCCTCCTGAGTGCTGGGATTACAGGTGTGCACTACTATACCCCAATTGTGAGTAGATTGCTTTAGATTGGTGTTTTGTCCTATTCAAATCTTGGATTTTTAAGAAAGACACATGTAATAATAATCCTTTTTGGAAAGGAGTATTATCATTAGATCAAAGGGAAGGAATATTTTAAAGTCTCTTCATGTTAATGCCAAGTCACTTTCTAGATTCTATACCTTTGCTAGTGCTGTATGAGGGTGCTTGTTTTTAATGACAGTTATAAGATATAGCAAAGCACATAATAAAACCAAGGACTCTTAACACTAAATCTCAACATGACTTGTAAAAAGTTTCAACTATTTTTGTTATTCATAGATCAGTTATTCAGGTTAACTCCTGCTGAGATTTACCTCCGCTTCTTCATTGTGTAAAACAGGAGATTTGATGAAGAGTGCTGCGGGAGAATTTGCAGATGATCCCTGCTCATCTGTGAAGCGAGGCAACATGGTTCGGGCAGCTCGAGCTTTACTCTCTGCTGTTACCCGGCTGCTGATTTTGGCTGACATGGCAGATGTCTACAAATTACTTGTTCAGCTGAAAGTTGTAAGTACAGGCCTATGCCTGTAATTTGTTCTTTGTATCACAGTGAGGCCAGAGTTGGCCATACTTAGTTTAGTGTTCCTAAGGATTTTATTTGGTTTTGAACTTGGTTTATCTAAATGGACCAGGGATATTTTTAATTTCCATTTTTTGTTCAAAGTGGACATGATAAAGGCTCTGCTATGAGCTAGTATTGTCTTGGTTCTAATAAAGAACTTTTAAGGAAGGTATTGTTTTGACTCCTTTCCTTTCTGGAGTTCTGGTGAAACATTTCTTTGTTACTAGAAGATCCTAGACCTGAGGAACCAAGATACATTAAATTGTATACTTTAGTTAGAGGCCAATATAATAGTGTTCTTTTCAACTCCTTTAAAGCACCTGTATAATAGGAGGCCCATGCCAACTCAAGAACTTAAGTTTGGATTGTTTTCTGAGCAGCTAGTAAAGGAAATAAAACATTTCTATGGCATCAGCTTCATCTGCATACTTGTATGGTACAGAATTTTTGATATTTGAGGTTGTGTTTTATAGGTGGAAGATGGTATCTTAAAGCTGAGGAATGCTGGCAATGAACAAGACTTGGGAATACAGTATAAAGCCCTGAAACCTGAAGTGGATAAGCTGAACATTATGGCAGCTAAAAGACAACAGGTACAGTCATTATTTGGGGATATTTTAAAGTTCTTTATTCAATTATTTAGTAGGGCTAACTTATTTTTCCTCGGTTTTCTGAAGGTACTGTTATTTTATACAAACACTAAACTACATTAGAACATTTAAACTACAAAGTATGTTTCCGGTGTTGTGTTGTTAACAGAGTTATAATTAAGTTGCATTCACGTTATGCTCCTGTTTTAATTCTTGTGATATTTTATTTTAGGTAGCTTAGCAGTTTGAGTGAAAATAACTTGTGTCTGGGGTGGTAATGGGCCTTTTTTTTTTTGGTTTTTCTCCTGTACCGGGAACCGAACTCACGACCTTGCGCTTGCCAGGCAGGCGCTTTGCCGCTGAGCTAAATCCCCAGCCTCGTAATGGGCCTTTGTTGTGTGTGTGTTCAAAGATTACCTGAGTTGTTGGTGGAGTTTAATTTGGTTGTTTAAAAAACCTAACCAAGTTAAAGTATAATAGAATTACTGTATGTCTGTATAAAAAAGTTCCCCTCCACACCCTCCACACCATATTTTGACACTTATGTGGCTCTTACTAATCATTACTAATAGTTACTCTTATGTGGTATGTGGATCGGTGTTCTTGTTCTTTGAAGCTTAACCCTTTGGTGTTTTTATGCTTGGTGGTGCTTTGAAATCTTCCTATACTCTTTCTGATAGATGCTGTGTTTTGGGCATATATTCTGCAGAGAAAATGCATACATCACCATTCAGGTTTTTTAAATCTTCTGAAGTTCTGATGCTGGCTGTGGTGGTGGATGCCTGTAATCCAATCACGGATGCTGAGGCAGGGGCATGCCACAAGTTTGAGTCTACCCTGGGTTACATAGTGAGTGAGTTCAGTTCAAGGTCAGCCTGAACCACATAGCAAGATTCTATTTTAAAAAGCACCCCCCCCTCAAACTTATGATGTTCTGGTGAGGTATGTGGTTTTAATTCTGATTTTAAAAGAGTGCCTGAAAAGAGGAATTGTAACTGTTAGCCCACATCAGTTAGGGTTCCTTGTGCTTCAGTGCACAGTAAACCCAGTTCTCAAACTGCATAAAAAATGGGGGTTTATGTTCTCACTAAGTACAAGTCCTGAGTTAGGTTGACTCCATAGTTACTAAATTCAAGAGTATTGTGGTATCATCAAGGATCCAGGTTTTTGACATGTTTCAGCACTTCAGTGTGTCCAGCGTTGGATGGCTGCAGATACTATTAAGTATGAGATTTACACACATTAGTATGGCCAGCGAGGAAAAAAAGGAATGTTTCTTTCCTATGTCTCTATGTGCAAACAATTTAGAAGTCCCTAGCATACTAGCTCCAAATCTGAATTGTGTGACAGACCTATTCTTCAGTTACCAGTCTGAGAGGAAGGGCTGTCTCCTATGCTTGCCTTAGTAATCAGTACTGACCTTCTTCTCATCTGGAATAGGGATGTGCAACACAAACTGATAGGCAGGAGGAAAAGGGGCAAGGGGTGAGAGTGGGATGGATTTGGGTAGGTAATCTAGGATAGCTGCTACAGACTTTTCATTAAGGATAATTGTCAGTGTTAAAAAAATGTCTAATATATGACGGTTTCAGCTTTGGAGAGTTCTTAGTTATTTGGTTATATCAGTGTATAATATCTGACCACAGGGTTGAGAGAATTAAGTTTAGTAATGTGTGCACTTGAGTATTTTGCCTGTCACTAAAAAGTCCTTCCTATGTGGACAGGTGGTAAATAATTGTTTGTTGCTCATATTTCAAGCCAGGGGATGTGACCATACTAATCCTATACATGTGCAACCCTGGTTTTAAATTTTTAGAACTTAATGTTATACATGGTAATATAGCTGTATTTTGTGTACTGCCTGATAGTTATTCTTAGGCTCAGTGTGCATTTATCATTTATTCTTTTGTTGGCTTACTCTTTGTCATACCAATTATGAATCATATATATATTTTTCTTTTGCTAGGGTTGGTTGATCCTGAAATAGCTTGCTTTAATAGAGTGATAATTCTGTAAATACAGCAAGCTCACTAAATTACTTTCTTTTCTTTTTTGGGGGGTGGGTACCAGGAATCGAACTCAGGACCTTGTGCTTACCAGGCAGGCACTTATGGCACTGAGCTATATCCCCCAAGTTGACCAAATTATGTTCACAATTTATTTTACTTAATGTTCTTGATATACATTCTCATTTGAATAAAATAAATGGTTCCTTTTATTAGTTTTTGAGATAGTCTTGCTGTTTTCAGGCTGGCCTTGAACTCACTATGCAGCCCAGGCTTATCTTGAACTTCTGATCCACTTGCCTCAGCCTCTTGAGTGCTGGGATTACAGGCGTGCACCACCATGCCCAGCTAATAAATGTTTTTATATTTAGAAAATAAAGTTTGGTCTGCATCCTGTTTTAAAACCTTGTTGAATCTTGGTTTATGAAGGCTTATAACTATTTAGGCAAAGTAAGACGGTTTAGACTGCCATTTACTATTTTGTATCTTTGTAAAATGGTGGAATAGGTAAATAGATGGTGTTCTTGATGTAAAACATAGTAACAGTTCAGAATTTTGTTTGCAATTGGAAAATGTGTTGGAAGGTAATGCTGCTTGATTTTTAGTTCTGTGTGCCATAAATCCATTAAGAGTTCCTCTTTGCATGTGATACTGAGTGAACTAAAGCTATTTTCTTCTGCTTTCCTCAATTAGCATTTTGGCATAATACTTCAGAGTGGTAGTGGTACCTGAGTTAAGGTAGTTTTAAGTATGTTATATGTGGATCCTTCACACCAGCCACAAGGAAAACCTTAGGGAGATGTACCTTTTTGGACACCTTAAAGGTGCTATATATCCTTAATTCAAAGAACATTTCTCATACTTGTTCATTACAGTTCATTTTAAATCTTTTAAGTTTAGGCTTTTTAAAAGTTAATTTTGAGAACTGAGACATAATGGAGGAATCAATAAGGGCTTGACTTTTTTTGTAATGATTTCTTTCTGGGTAT